CCCCAAAACCCCAAAACCCCAAAACCCCAAAACCCCATTTTACTTTCAATAAGTAGATATTTAGTGCAAACATTGTCAAAATTATGAAATATTTATGAATTCTCAGTGTCAGAATCTGATGAATCAAAGTCAAGATTCTCTATCAAGTCAGTAATCTCTTTTGCTTCTTGAGCGTCCTGGGTAATTTCCTATAAAACGTCAGATATGCAGCTAAAAATTTAGCTTAGACTTCTTAAGAACTGTCAGTGAAATAATAAAAAATTGGAAAGGAATGGAGTAACTAAATGAGTACTAAGAACAAATCTAGAAATGAATTTTGTACTAATCTAAGATATTAGTTTGATAGAATCTATAAAAGAAATCATTCTCTCGCCGTTTCTTTCAACTTCAGAATGGAAATAGATCCCTCCATTTTGAAAGAAATTATTTCAAACTCTCAAAAAGTTACTGAAAAGTGTAATGTGCATCTCGTTTCCAATTTTATGGAAATCTCTGACAGAAAATTTCGAGTATATCTTGCATAAATGATACTTACCTTTTCTTCTTCAAGCTCATGGTTCTTTTCTATACCAAATAACTCACATAATCCCTAAAAACTTACTCTCCGATTCTCCAACTGGCAAATCCCAACTTCCAGCCCAAGGATCGCCTAAATTTGTAAGAATATGAACACCCCCAAAATAATGGTAAAACTTCGACTTTACCTGTTTTTCCTGGCTTGAATTCATCTTCTTCACTATCCCAGCCTCCGTTTGCCCTCTCCTCACAGCCATGATCTGAGGTTGCAGCTTTCTCTTCTTCATGCTGATCTTTGTCATCTTCACATTGGCCTAACTCATCGTGGCTCTCAGGTTCTTCTGCCTAGACCAGAATAACCCAAGATGGCTTACCTTCCAAGGTCAATGCACCTCGTGCTCCTCTAACTTCTCCTGAGTGAAGAATATGTGGAAGTAGTACCACCTGCAGTGAAAGACCGGCCTGCCACTGTCTCGGAATTTTTTCTATATGTGAGACTGATAGGCTTACATATGCCTTACATTTTACCAAGTGGAACTGGTACCTGGTCCTCTTCATGACATGTGACCTGTCAAAGTGGCATTCAACCTTCGGGTTCTCAAAATCTTCCATGAATCTAGCTAGATTATCAATTAATTTAGCCTTAAATGGGGTTTTGGGGTTTTGGGGTTTTGGGGTTTTGGGGTTTTGGGGTTTTGGGG